CAATTGTATAGTCATGCTTGATCTAATTGAATTATGGATTGTTTTAATATCTTTCGAGCTCCCAATAAAATGGAAAAGATAATAGAAAATAAACATGTGGCATCCACATGCAAAACAAAAAGAATATATTAAGCTTCATGACTCCAGGTTTTCATATCCAGATTCAACAATTATCAATATATGGTCAATCTTATCTCATCTTTATGCATCCCTACCCATTTCCCCGTGTTATGTTTAAGCAATACCAGATATTCTATCATTTCATCTGTGATTGCTAAGGTATTTAACTCCAAGAGACACCTAAACCAAACTCACTGCCATTAAGTCAATTTCAACTCAATGTTAGCCTGGGTTGACTAAAGAAACAAATACAGTGACACTCATACATGTGTAAGAGAGAGTTTTATATCATGCAGTTTTATATATCAGGAAAACATCCCAGCCCTGTCCAACTCAAGTCCTTAAGACCGATACTAGTCCATAAGTACCTCTACAGACTCATTCAGCCACATACAATGGTGCAGAATGCAGGAAGATTTCAGGGCAGTGGGTGCAGCGTTGCTTGGATAAAATGGCCGCATACAGGGCTCGTGCAGGTCTAGTAGCTTGTCAACAGGAAAGTGAAGGGGCCTGGGGTGTCCCCAGAACCCTCCTTATGAAAAGGCCAAACCCACAAGGAGGTACCATCATGCTGTGACTTGATTGACGGGCTAGACTTCACCCTGCACTTTTTTTTCACCCCTACACTTCCATATCTTCAAGTTGACCCTAGAGGATAGATTAGAACTACCCCTTTAGCTGTAAATCTTTGCAAGGTTAGAAAACCTCATCTTTCTCCCGTGGAGCAACTGGTGGATTTGAAGTGCTGACCTTCCTCTTAGCAATTCTATATGTAACTCATCATGCCACCAGGGATCTTTCTATAAGAGATAACTACTCTTTATTGATGAGAGGGTTTAGCGTTTTTGTGGAAAAATTGTTATCTTTAAATTTAATTTTGTCCTGAACTTTTTAAAGCCCCATTATTTGTACTCTTTATTAATATATGTATACACACATAATATCCCACGCCAATCCAGTTATCAAACTTTTGAAAAATTTAAAGCTCTTCCTCAGTTGTATTTTGCATGCCTTACTACCTGAGTGGGGGCTCATCTTCAGCACTGGACCAGTTCCTCTACTAACCGTAGCTTTTTTGTGTCTATAATCATTCAGAAAAGAGCTGCCTGCTTCCGCCTCCAGGGCTGTCAAATGCTAAAATCTCCACCCAAACACTGGAATTTGAAATTTCAATGATCCAGCTTCCAGAGTCACAGCAACATAAAAGAATTGAAAGTGATTCCTTAATGTTGTAGAATGCCCAGTCAGTGATCACGTTTCTTTACTTAGATATTTTTCCCATAGATTTATTCAAATTCAGATTAAACAAGGTTCATTCATGCATTGCATTTATCATAACTCTTACATTTTTAAACTTTCATTTTTCCATGATCTAAAGATCTTTTGTTGTTGAAGACACCAAGTTTGCAATATTCTGGATTTTACTGATTTCATCCCTATGCTTTATCTTTTTCTATCGTGTGTGTTTCCTGTTGACAAATGCTTGATTAGATGCACATTTGATGTTTGGGAGGATACTTCATTGGTGTACTACATCTTTCCTATTGCTACCTAGGTCTTTCTTTGTGCGCCTAAGATTGGTCAATGGATTTAGTTGTTTTAGACTCCATTTGGCACCTGAACAATATGAATTTGAACTGCACCAGTCTAGTTAATATGCAAATTTTTTCCTACTGCTATTGCCCAGAGTACAGGTATTCCAAACACAATAGACAGCATCATTAAAAACAGAGAAGATTGAAATTGTCAAGGATTTCATTTTGCTTGAACCCACAATCAATCCTCATGGAAGCAGCACTCAGGAAAACAGTAGTATATTGCTTTGGGCAAGGATGTCAGTTTAAGGACTAATAATGTGCCTGACCCAAGCCATGGTACTTTTGATCACCTCGTATGCATGTGAAAGTTAGTGAATAAGGAAGACCACAGAAGAACTGATGCATTTGAATTATGATGTTGTTGAAGAACATTGGAAGTACTGTCGGCTGCCAGATGAACAAATACATCTGTCTTGGAAGAAATACGGTCAGAATACTCCTTAGAATTGAGGATGACAGAATTTCGTCTCATGTACTTTGGATGTATTATCAAGAGAGACTAGGTCCTAGAAAAGGACTTCATACTTGATAAAGTAGGCCAGCAGAAGAGAGGAAGACTCTCAAGAAGATGGATTGACACAGAGGCTACAAGAGTAGGTTCAAACAATAATTTTGAGGATGGCACAGGATAAGGTCATGTTTTGTTCTGTTGAGCATACGGTCATTATAAGCCAGAACCAACTCTGACTGCACCTAACGACATAGAAATTATGATTAAAAGTCATGTGAAATTGTTATTTACTATTTTTAAAAAGGTCATATATATAAAAAAATTAGTAGATGTTTACTATAATCCTTACCATAATCCGGTATAACTGATAAAATTTATATTTCTTTGGTTTTTTTACATCGCTATCAGGTTTACTGATGATTATTCTCCTTAAAATTACTTAATGAAAAGCATCTGTTTTTCTCATTGATACCACCACCAAGTTATCTTCAATAAAATGTTCAGAAGAGAAGGGCCTGTAACTTAATATCAATAGTTGGTTTTGGCCCACAGGGAGCAGGGCTGTGGTCATGGAGTGTCAGTACGGGCCAAGGAGGAAAGGGTTCCAGTTTAAAAAAGTCAGTGAGCAGGAAAACAGGTCCTGTCAGCTCTACAAAGCTACTTGTCCAGCCCGGTAAGCTTTTTTCCTTTCATTGACTTTCTATTAAGTCCTGATTTTTTAATACTACGTGTACGTTTTGCCTTTAAGCTTCAATCAGCACTCAAAGTGATATGGTGAAGTCTAAGTTTTCTTTTCCCCTATTCCTCATGTCCTTCTTTAAGACAGTTACTCTTAAGCTTCTTCAGTTGCTGCCCAAAGATACCTTTGTATATAAGTACATGTACATTTTCCCTTTTATCACCATAAATTTTACTGAAGATTTGAATAAGATTTACGAGTATCTTCTTTTGTAAAAGTTCTATAATAGTGCACCTTCTATCCTGCTATTCATACTGATTTTCCTCAATGTGAGTGTTTTTAATGCACAGAGAGTATGGTACATGTTAGTGTGAATGTAATGACACATACTATTCTATGTTTTGCTTATTTTATTCCCAAAATATCATAGAATTGGTTACATATTAGTACATACATGGCTGCCTCTTTGTAATAGCCATTTAATATTCCATTTACAAAGAATCATCTAACATAAAATTACATATGCTTTGCTTTAATAAAACAAATCATTTACTTAGTCCTGTAATGATGGGCATATATGTTGTGAAAAATCATTTTTTTTATCATACAAAGCTGCAGCTAATAGGTTGAGCCTCTTTGTACATTTGTACTAATATGTCAGTAGGATAAGTTCTTGGAAATGAATTCTCCAGGGCATTTCCTAGAAGGTTAGAATCTTACAAGAAATGCCTTGAATGCTGACAGGAGTTTTTTATTGGGTGAAAACATAGCCACTTACTTCACAGGAGGAATATAAATGTGAGTAACTACTGCTCTACCAAATGGATTTGAGTGATGAAAGACTGCAGGTCCAGAAGAGGCTGTTCATACAATCCGAGCGACAGATTACTGTGGTTTTGAGGAGAGCAGAGAAGAGGAGGCAAATTTAAGGCAGGGGGAGTTACAATCCATTGATACTTAGATATTTTTACAGAAACACAATTATTGTTCATTTTCTAAGTACTGTTTTGTCACGAAAATATAGCATGTCTTTCACATAATCCTTATAATACTTTCTAGATTATTGATGGAAAATTCTCTAAATTTAAATGCTTGATATGTTCTCCAATACTTCTGTAGTACTTTGGTTGGTGTGTTAGATTTTCTTGGCATTGTGGTATAATGAAATACACTTTTCTTTATTTTGCGAAAAGGATCTACATTAAAAAGGTACAGAAGTTTCCTGAATTTAGCGTTTCCACTGACCCCAAAGTTGACAGAAAACTAGTCAGAATGGAGCAGGAGAAAGCCTTTAACACACTAAAGAAGAACATAGTGGATGCTGGAGGTGTTATTAGGTATGACGTTTATATAGTTATTTTTTTATAAATTCATTCTCTGTAAGAGAATAATATTTCCCAATTATTTCATTAAATGGCATCAGAATGAAAGGTTTTATTGGTAGTTCCTGAAGTATTTAAATGATTTGCCATTGTACAAGTCATTAACTATTTTAGCCCCATGTTGTGCATAATGCAGGCTAAACAATTCTCTATATCATATGGAAGTTTTTCCCATATTGACAAATGGATATTTAACAAGATAATGCATTAGATGAATATATTTAGTTTCAGATACTTACTAGAAGCAGAATTTATAGCCACCTGAGTTTGGGGTTTTTTTTAAAACCTATTTTTGATTACTTATACAGAGTCCTGGTGGTGCATTGGGCTAGACATCGAATTGCTAACCCAAAAGTCAGCTTGCAATTCACCAGTCACTCCACAGGAGCAAGATCAAACAGTCTGCTCCTGTAAAGATTTAGAGCAGTGGTTCTCAACCTTCCTAATGCCACGCCCCTTTAATACAGTTAGTTATGTTGTTGTGGACCCCCCCCCACCATAAAATTATTTTGTTGCTACTTGATCACTGTAATTTTGCTACTGTTATGAATTGGGCGACCCCTGTGAAAGGGTCACTTGACACCCACCCCCCCAAAGGGGTTGCAACCCACAGGTTGAGAACCACTGATTTAGAATCTCACAAACTCTATTGAGCAAATGTTCCCTGACCTATAATAGGATCACTGTGAGCTGGAATCAACTTCATGGCAGTGAGTTTAAAGTGGGCTTTAGTTACTTAACGGAAAGCAGAAATTAATTCTAAACTCCACATAAAATTGTTTTGTACCTTTTTTTTTTTTTGCTGTGGGTTTCCAATAACAAATAATAGCTTGCTTTCTTACCTCTGTGTGTCATTTCAGTTGAAGATTTTGCTATTGTATAGTAGGTTTAAGTATATAGCTTTTCAATGGTCTCTAAAACAAACTTAGATATATGAAAAATGAATAGAATGAATAAATCATTAAAAATTAATTGAACCCTTAACATTGGAAAATGTGTTTAATTTTGAATAATCTTAGTTCCATGCAGTATCAGTCATTGTAAGCATTTTATACAAAAATTTCAAAACAGTATCATTCTTGATTATATCATTTTCCCAGCATCTCATTTGCACCTCTCTGCCAGACACCTACACTTTTTAGTTGATATGTTTTGCGCACTGGGCCAATAGGAAGTGGGAGTGCTTTGGAAGCAATATGTTGCATTCTTGTCCAAGAATAATGTCCCACCTAAGTGCATCTCCACTGGCTCTGAATTACATGCTCTTTGGTTGAAAGGATGGTAGGTTCAACACAAGTGTGATTCAGGACAAAATGATAGATGGATAAGAAAATAAATAACCAAAGATAATTTACAATCTATTTTCATCTAAAATTTGCTTAATATGAAATTTCACATGCCATTTTTATTTATACTCAAATCACTATACTCTACCCTGCTACTAAATGCTAGGGCCATAGTGAAATTCTATAAAGGTGTATAAAAACTTTTATTTAATTGAGTATAAACCCAATTTTTAAAACAGTTCATTAGTACACCATTAAATTTTTATTTTGAATGTATAATCATATGTAATTTATCTTAAAAGGTTATCCCTTCTCTATGTATTCGCATGCCTGGTTATGACTTTTACCATCATCTAATAAAAATAATTGTAACTATTTTCTCTTATCAGGTGGTATGTACAGTTACCTACACAGCAGGCTCATCAGTATCATGAATTAGAGACTCCCTGCCTTTCACCTTCCCCCTCTCCTTCCCCTTCCCCTTTTCCTATGCCTTCTCTTGAAGAAGAGGAAAATGCAATTAGAGATGAGAATTGTGCATTACCCTCACGTCTACATCCTCAAGTAGCTTGTAAGATTCGAGAATTAGTATCCCAAGGAATAGAACAGGTGTATGCAGTAAGGAAACAGCTAAGGTATAGTAGAAACTAGTCCTTTTACAGTTTTGTTTGTTGGTTTAAAATAATATGCTAAATATGATAGGCATTTTCTCGGCTATTTGCTACTAGAGTAGTTAAAGCAATATGATTTATTAATTTACTGCTCAGCAAGCAATAATGTAAAGTGGTTTATTATGATTCTGATTACCGTATGTAATCGAATATAAGCTGAGATTTTCAGCACATCTTTTTATGCAGTTTTTCTGGTAAAATTAGGTTCCTCGGCGAGAATTGGGTCAGCTTATACTCGAGTATATAGGTACTCATTTAAGCTATTCCTCTTTTAAGTTTGGTAAATTGGACTAGATCTAAATGACACATGGATTGAATTTTACAACAAATACCTTTACAGTGGGAAAAAAACCTTTTGTATTAATACATTTTTAAAGCCTAGGCTTAGATTTATACTTACTTTGTACTGACTTATAGCTATTTGAGTTTATACTTTCTTCAAGCTATTTGAAAGGTTATTAATCTTACTATAACAAAATAATTTAGCTAGTTTTTTGATGAAATTCTATTTTACTGATACTTAGGCTATAGTATTTTTACAAGGAAGAGGCACTGATCATGTGTGCCAGGTGTTATGCTATGGGATTTACATGCAGGTTCCATTTAATCTTACAGCAACTCTATAGAGTTGGTTACTTTATACCCAGTGTACAGATGAGAAAAGAGACACCAGAGGGTTTAAAGAACAGAATTAAAACAAAGGCAAACCTGAAATATAGGTCTATCTCTGCAGATATGTTCTTTTTCATGATTTCTGGTACTTAACTGACTTTTTTCAGATTGGTTATTGTGTCGTATGATCTGAATTATAAAATTATTACTTAATACATGACACCACTGTTGAGCAGCCTTCTTAGGCATTGTATGTGTATGTCTATAGAGGCACTATTAGAACATGCATAGAATTCGTAACGCCCGCCACTGTTTCCTACACCTGGGTCTTAAGAACAGAAGTATATTAGTTCTCTGACTTGGTCTACTGAATAGAATGTGTGGAGCATGTATATATCTATATATTGAACTGTATTATTTCTTTATGTAGTTCTTCTGTTTTCTCTACTTGTTAAATGTAAGCACATCATAGTTTACATAATATTAACGGATGCCTTTGGAAAGTATAATAAACATGGTCTGTGTGCACATAACTTAGGCATAACTAAGTGCTTGTACTTACTAGGTCAGTACATGACTTTAGGTAACTTACTTCTGAAATCCTCCATTCCCTTATCTGTAAATTAACTTTACAGATAGTTGTACAGAGAGTGATAGTTGTACGTATGTCACAGAATTACTGTAAGTATTAAAGGAGATAATTGATGGGAAGTGCTGATAGAGTAAGCATCAAAGCCATTGTACTCAAATAAAACATAATTATCTTAAATTAAATCCATAAAAATGTAGAATTTTATTCTAAAATGCACAAATGTTTAGTCAATGAAACATCATGTTTCTTTGATCTTTCTGATTTAATGTATGGAAAAAGTGAAAGTTGACAACGATAAATTATTTTTAAGTGATTTAAACCACTTCATAGAAATTTGTGCTAAAAAAGGCTTTCTCTTTTGGTTTAAAAATATATTGCTCTATGGCTATACTTACATTTTATATTCTTCACAGAAAATTCGTGGAAAGGGAATTGTTCAGACCTGATGAGATACCTGAAAGACATAATTTATCTTTTTTTCCAACTGTGAATGATATCAGAAATCACATCCATGAGGTACAGAAATCCTTGAGAAATGGCGATATCTATAACTCCGACATTATTCCGGCAACGGTATGGATTACAGTTGTAATTCCTTATTTTGTGACAGAATCTTTCATAGCTTCTATTAATATTTTGTGCCTAGTAGGGATGTTTGCTATTTGTAGAAAGTATGACATAAAGAAGGGGGGAAAAAAGATGTTTGGTTTTTTTTCTTTTTGTTTTTTGGTTTTTTTTCTTAACATTTAAAAGCTAGGTGTTCACCGGTTGAATTTTATTACTCTTACAAGAAGAAAAGTCAATGAATGTTTATCTCTGATTATAATAAAAATATTAATCTTCATTTTAAAGGAAATAATTTCTCTGTAAAATATTGTACTTACTCATTTAGCAGTTATTGAGTACATACTATGTATATCCCCACATGCCTCCCTTTTTAAATAGATGATTAAAGTGAAGTAGACTAGTTTAGACTTGAATGCATAAAATGATGACAGTACTTTAACATGCCACCCTGTGGGTATCCACACGGTGAGAATGGAGTTCTCAAATTTTACTTATGCTAGAGCACTAATGACAATACTTTCAGTGATTATGTTATTAGAATCTCAGTAAAAATGTCCTTTGCTCTCTAAACGTTTACTATTTAAACTCATTAAAGGAATAGATTGAGATTTGCTTTTAAGGTAAAGCTACTACTATTCCTTGCTATCCAAACCCCTTCCTTAATTATTCACAATCCAAAACTTAAGAACTAAAACATATTTGATTAGCAATGATCCTTGCCATATGAATTCGCCTTCCAAATATTTTCTTTCTAAGCATGGTAACCAAGCGTATTTGGATAATCAGGGATACTTTTGATTCCAAAATATGAATAAATGCAGAGAGTAATTACAGATGAAAATACAAGCATCACTATAATAGAATGAAATATGATCATTGTATTGATGTTTTAAAATATTTTTCAATATAAATGCTTTATTATACTTACTATAATAAATGCTCCTGTTTCAGCTTCAATGGACTGAAGATAATGGGAATATTCTTAGAGAGACTGTGACAGTTACAATTGCAGATGGTAGGTTATCTTGAATATACTTAAAATAAAAATTAAGATTGTAAAAAACTAGAAAGAATTTAACATATATTATCAAATCATATATTATCGATGATGAAACCATGGTTCCTAAGAGGTGGGAGCAACTGTTTTAGGGTTTGTCAGAATATTTCAAGGTATTTAAATCTCCAGTAATTGGCTTTTATGCCTAAAAAATGTAGTCTTGTTACTAGCAAAATGAACTAGAAAGTCAGGCTAATTCCAGAAGGAACAACTGTCCATTAGGAATGCCCACTTTCTCAAGGCCCAGCCACATGCTCGGACATGTTTTTTTACTCTTAACACACTTTATTAAAGAGAAAAATGTAGGAGACAAGAAAAGAAATGGAAATTTCCTCAAACTGTCACCTTTGGAATGGCTTGTTTTAAACCATCTTGATGGCAAAACAGACCAATCCCAGTGTTAGGGTTTTTTGCGTGGAAATCCCCTAGGGTCACAAACACCTCCCATTTTCATACCCCTATCCAGTCATAGTCATAGTCCTCCCTTGTTGCTGAAAATGAGGAGGACTTGAAGCACTTGCTGATGAAGATCAAGGATTCCAGCCTTCGGTGTGGATTACAATTCAGTGTAAAGAAGACCAAAATCCTCACAACTGAACCAATGGGTAGTATCATGTTATTTGGAGCAAAGGTTGAAATTTTCAACGATTTTCTTTTTTCACCACCCTTAACAATGTGTCAATCCATTTCATTGAGGCCCTGCTTCTTTTTCACTGTCCTTCCGTGTTACCAAGCATGATGCCCTTCTCTAGGAAGTGGTCTCTCCTGACAACATGTCCATAGTAAGCACACAAAGTAGCCATCCTTTCCTCGAAGGAGTATTCTTGCTGTACTTCTTCCAAGACAGATTTGTTTGTTCTTTTAGTGGTCTGTGGTACTTTGAATATTCGTCACTAAAACCATAGTTCAAATGCATCTTTTTTTTCTTTAGTCTTATTCATTGTCCAGTTTTCATATGTATATGATCATTAATATTTTCGTTGATTTTTGTGTTGTCCCACATGCATATGAGACCATTGAAAATATGGCTCAGGTCAGACACACTTTAGTCCTCAAAGTAACATCCTTGCTTTTCAACACTTTAAATGCAATGTGTTGTTTTGCCTCTTAATTGCTGCTTTAGGCTTTACACGTTTCATTGTGATGTTACCTACTGGTCCCGCTGGGAAGATTTTTACTCTAGGCTGTAATCTATAATCCTTGGTCTTCGTCCACATGTGCTTTCAGCAAGCAAACAAGACCTGTTCGATCTTCCCAGTGATCCTGTGAGGAAAATATTTTGTCTTGATTTTTTAAATGAAAATTTTGAAACTTAGAAACTGAGCTAAATAAAATATTGAAGATCACACTGAATAGCCAACACTGAAATCCCCCCCTTGTCTGACACCAAGGACATTTTTTTAAAAAATCGTTTTATTGGGGACTCGTACGACTCATCACAATCCATACATCCATCCATCGTGTCAAGCACATTCGTACATTTGTTGCCATCATCATTCTCAAAACATTTGCTTTCTGCTTGAGCCCTTGGTGTCAGCTCATTTTTTCCCCTCCCTCCCCACTCCCTCCCCCCATCATGAACCCTTGATAATTATAAATTATTATTATTTTGTCATATCTTACACCATCCTACATCTCCCTTCACCCACTTTTCTGTTGTCCATCCCCCAGGGAGGAGGCTATATGTAGATCCTTGTAATTGGTTCTCCCTTTCCACCCTACCTTCCCTCCACCCTCCTGGTATCACCACTCTCAGCATTGGACCTGAAGGGATTATCCATCCTGGATTCCCTGTGTTTCCAGTTGCTGTCTGTACCAGTGTATATCCTCTAGCCAGATTTGCAAGGTAGAATTTGGATCATGATAGGGGGTGGGGGTGAGGGGGAAGCATTCAGGAACTAGAGGAAAGTTGTATGTTTCATCATTGCTACACTGCACCCTGACTGGCTCATCTCCTCCCTGGGACCCCTCTGTAAGGGGATGTCCAGTTGCCTACAGATGGGTCCTGAGTCCCCAATCTGCATTCCCCCTCATTCACAATGATTTGATTTTTTGTTCTTTGATGCCTGATGACACAAAGGACATTTAAAAAATCCTCAGCTACTGTGTGGAAGCAATACTTACTGTAAATACCTATTTTTTTTATGCCTATTTTTTAAATGGAGTTTGTTGAAACTTTGTTGTTGAGAAGATACAGAGCAGGACATACAGGAATTCAACAATTTCTATACGTTCAGTTCAGTGACATTGGTTATATGGTTTGAATTGGGTACCCCTTCTTACCTTCCTTTTCTGGCTTGTACCTCCTCCATTAATATAAGCTGATTTCTCCGTAATTTTCCTGTCTAGTCTTTTGAATTGCTATTGTTAATTTGATCCCATTTAGTTCTCAGTGCTCAAAGGAGGCATTCTTTACTAGTTACGCCATTGTTGGGTTTTGAGAAGAGTTTAGGAAATGTTTTTTGCTTAAAGTTTAAAAATTTTCTCTAACCTCCATAACTCCAGAAAACATAGGAATTTTTGAAATTTGTCTTGTGCTTTTCCCTTTTGATGAGGATTCCACTATAGAGTCATTGATCAAAACATTCAATATTGGTAGCTGGACACCAGCCAATTGTTCTGGGCTCATGACAGAGAATGCTGTTCTTCATTAAAGCAATTAGCCATATATTCCATCTCCTCCTTCTCCTCCTCACTCTCGTCCTCTATTGTTCTGGACAAATCTAAATCAATTATACCTGGGATGACCAACTGCAAACTTCCAAGGCTCCAAGCAACCACACAGTAGGATTATTAGCTCAATTAACTGGATGTCCAATGAAACTCATCCTAAACTTCCAAACTGAGGAACCAAATTCCATGTATTTAGCCATACATAATGTAGACTTGCAGCAATCTTTTAAATTTTTTTATTTTTGTCACATTATTATTTAAATATATCTATCATACAACTTTTGCCAGTTCAACTTTTTATAGGTGTTCAACAGCAATTAAATTAATCAACTGTACAACCTTACCCTTAATGTATGTGATTTTTCCA